GAAAGTAATGTAAAGAATGAGAAAAAAAGGAAAAAAGGAGGAAAAAGGGAAAATGGAAAAGAATTATAACTTCTAAATTTTAAAAAGAAAAAAGTTTTTTCTAAAAATTTAAAATTTTTTAAAAAATGATTTTTTAATATTTTTTTAAAAAAGTTTTAAAATAATTTAAATTTTTTCCAAAATTTTTTATAAAAAAATTTTTTAAACAAAAATCGGTTTTTAAATTTTTGCAAAAATTTTTAAATTTATAAAAAAAAATGTTTACTTTTTATAGTTGAGCAGCTGCACATCATCAACTTTTGTTGTCACGCCATCGATGCAGCACTGGCAACTTCTCCATTCAACTCGTTGTTTTGCTCTCCGAGTCCACGTGATACCCCGTATAGGCACACCGTGGGGTCTCTTCATCTCACTGATGTCCTCCTCAGTGTTCGCTTGACCGTACGTGGGTACCATTCCATTATCGGCTTCGTCCATCTATTACCTGATATCCGTGCCACATGACCAGCCAATCTCTTGTTACATTTATCGAATTTGATACAAATTTTTGCAGGAACTAAGGGAGTTTGCGCCCAAGTTGCTCCTGTTATGAAAATTGCTGTACATGAGGGAACGTTGGTTTAAACATTTGCTGCAGCAAGTTCGAAAAGTCACAACCCCTTCTTTCGAGAAATCGAAAGCAATCCGACCAAAAATGATCACGGAACGTCTGGTGCCGCTGACGCGTAAGCTTGATACACCAGAATTTCGGGCTCTTTTTACGCCACAACTCATCAAGCTCAATGATCTCTTCCGCAAAAATGACTTCCAGCTAAGGTAGTTTTTTTTTTTTTTTCGATTTCTTATTTTTCGAGCTGTTTTCATTGTTTTGAGATGTTTTTGATTAATGAAAATTTCGTTTTTCATACTTTTTGTTTTTATTATGCGTTTTTTGCAGCTATGCAATACGGAAAACACATATTGACGAAAGGTTGTCTGTGTGTGTGTGTCTTTGTGTGTTTGTGTGTGTGTGTTTCTGGGTGTGTTTGTGTGTGTGTGTCTGTGTGTGCGTTGCGCGTCTGTACCGATTTTTCAACTCAAGACCTACAAGAGCTACAGAGCTGAAACTTAGGGAAATTAATCTACATGCACGTACGGGCCTCCATCTCCAAAATGGCCAGTCTTACCCGCGTGGTAAGAGCCCGCCAAAGTTTTTTACGGGTAAGCTACTAACTCGCGAATCAGAAAAGCTAGGAAGCTGAAGTTTTAAGGGGAGGCTCCCCGTCCACGTAATTCTAAATGAGCTCAAACCTAGTCCCCGGGTAAGCGTGGTACCCGCGTAAGGGCCTACCAAAATTTTTTTCGTGTAAGTTCGTAACTCGGGGATCTGAGAAGCTAGGAAGCTGAAATCTCAAGGGGATGTTCCCCGTCCAACTAAATATTAATGAGCCCAAACTCAGCCTCTGGGTAAGCGTGGTACCCACTTACGGCTCTGTGAAAATTTTTTTTTTGAGTAAGTTGCTGATCAGAAGCCAGGAAGGCTTGAAAGCTGAAATTTTAAGGGGTGTTTCCTGACTGACAGCCAGTTTTAATTTGTTTAGCTAGAAGTATTTGCCGGGAAAACCGGTGACGGTAGCGACAAAAACTGCGGGGAACTATGCAAAAAACGCATCTTCGCACGGGCAGCCCGTGCGTT